TTTTTGCAAGTGTTGCCCAGGGGACGCCAGATCACACAGACTAGAGGCCAGCAGGATTTACAATTGCAATCCCACAGAAGTGTGTATATTAGCATCCTTTAAAAGCTGCTGCCTGACGGTCTGGCTTCCAATCAGCCTGAAACTCGGTGCTCACTGACAACCCTCTTTTTGGAACACTGACAGGTCTTGATACACCTTCATCAACTGGGACCTACCAGGAACAATCAGGCTGCTTAAACAATCACAAAGGTTCGAGAGACAACCAAGAGCTAGGGCAAGGTTGAAAGATAAGTTTCATCTCCTCCACAAGGCCACTCCTTCAAGACTGGGAGAGACAGCTGTTTTACCTAATACATAGAAATACACCAGAGTCAAGCAAAATGAGGAAACAGGAATGCTTCAAATGAAAGAACAAGACAAAACCTAATAAGGAAAAAACTTAATGAAGTGGAGATAAGTCATTTATTTGATAAAGAGTTTACAGGTCATACCCAATAATCCTGCTCCTGGGCATATATCCAGAAGGAACCCTACTTCAAAATAATACCTGCACCCCAATGTTCATAGAAGCACTATTTGCTATAGCCAAGACATGGAAACAGCCTAAATGTCTATCAACAGATGACTGGATAAAGAAGATGTGGTATATTTATACAATGGAATACTATTCAGCCATAAAAAACAACAACGTAACGCCATTTGTAGCAACATGGATGTTCCTGAAGAATGTCATTCTAAGTGAAGTAAGCCAGAAAGAGAAAGAAAAATACCATATGAGATCACTCATATGTGGAATCTAAAAAAAAGAAAAAAAAGGAGCATAAATACAAAACAGAAACAGACTCATCAATAGACAGAATACAAACTTGTGGTTGCCAAGGAGGAGGAGGATGGGAAGGGAAAGACTGGGAGTTCAAAATTTGTAGATACTGACAGGCATATGTAAAACAGATAAACAAGATTATACTGTATAGCACAGGGAAATATATACAAGATCTTGTGGTAGCTCACAGCGAAAAAGAATGTGACAATGAATATATGTATGTTCATGTATAACTGAAAAATTGTGCTCTATACTGGAAATTGACACATTGTAAACTGACTATGACTCAATTAAAAAAAAAGAGTTTACAGGTCATAAAAAGGCTCACAAAATGGGAGAAGAATGGATGAACACAGTGAGAACTTCAACAAAGATACAGAAAGTATAAGAAAGTACCAAATAGAAGCCACAGAGTTGAAGAATACAATAACTGACCTGAAAACTACACTAGAGAAGTTCAAGCTCAGACCAGATGAAACAACAGAAAGGATTGGTGACCTGGAAGACCAGACAGTGGAACTGACTCCACAGAGCAGCAAAAAGAAAAAAAGAATTTCGAAAAGTGAAGATATCATAAGGCACCTGTGATGAAATAACATTTACATTATAGGTGTCCAAGAAGAAGAAGAGAGAAGAGGGTATTTGAAGAAATAATGGCAGAAAACATCCCTAACCTAGGGAAGAAAACTGACATCCAGATCCAGGAGGCACAGAGAGTTCCAAAATAGATGAACCTAGAAGTATCCATATCAAGACACATTACAATCAAAATGTCAAAAGTTAAAGATAAAAAGAGAATCTTAAAAGCAGCAAGAGAAAAAAAAAATGTTCCATAACAAGGGCACCCCCATAAGATTATCAGAAGATTTTTCAGCAGAAAGTTTGCAGGCCAGAAGGGAGTGACATAGTATATTCAAAATGCTGAAAGGGAAAAAATTCCAACCAAGAACGATCTACACAGTCAGGTTATCATGTAGAACTGAAGAAGAGATAAAGAATTTCCCAGACAAGCAAAAGCTAAAGGAGTTTGTCACCACTGAATTGGCCTTATGAGAAATGCTAAAGGGACTTCTTTAAGCTGAAAAATAAAAGGCATTGATTATTAACAAGAAAACATAAGAAAGTGTATATCTTACTAGTAAAGGTAAATTATCATAAAGGTAGTGGATTAATCAGTTAAAAAGCTAGTATGAAGGTTAAAAGACATGTGTAGTAAAAACAAATAAATAACCATAACTACAATAATCAATTAAGGGATACACAAAATTAAAAAACTGTAAAATGTAACATCAAAAACATTAAATGTGGAGAGGATTAGTAAAAATGTTGAGTTTTAGATTTTGTTCAAACTTAAATTGTTACCAACTTGCTCAAATTCATATGAAACATCCTCCAGGGGAGGTCATATGTTAGGCCATAAAACAACTCTCAATAAATTCAAGATTAAAATCACATCAAACATCTTTGCTGACCACAATGATATTAAACTAGAAATCAATTACAAGAAAAAAAACTGGAATAAAATAAAAAATCCATGTTTTTAATGGACAGAAAATCTCAATAGAAAATTTTTCCAAAAGAGACATTCAGATGGCCAACAGACACATGAAAAGATATTTAATATCACTAATCATCAAGGAAATGCAAATCAAAACCACAATGTGATATCACCTCATACCTATTAGGAATGACTATTCTCAAAAAGAGAAGAAACAACAATTTGTTGGCAAGGATGTAGAGAGAAGGGAACCCTCATGCACTGCTTTGGGAATGTAAATTTGTGCAGCCATTATGAAAAACAGTATCAAGGTCCCTCAAAAAATTAAAAATGGAACTATGATATGATACCCAGAATTCCACTTCTGGGTATTTATCCAAAGAAAATAAAAATACTAATTGGAAAAGATATGAGCACTCATATGTTCATTGCAGCTTTTTTATAATAGCCAAGATATGGAAACAACCTAAGAATTCAACAAAGGATGAATGGATAAAGAAGATGTGGTATATATATACACATACATACATACATACACAAAGGAATACAATTTAGCCACAAAAAAGAAGAAAATCTTGCTATTCGCAACAATGTGAATAGGCCTCCAGGGTATTACAGTAAGCGAAATAAGTCAGAGAAAGACAAATACTGTACCATCTCACTTTTATGTGGAATATAAAATACAAAACAATCAACAAACAAAATCCACAGATACGGAGCACAGAGTAGTGACTGCCTGGTGGGAGGGGTGTTGGAGGTGGGAAAAAGGGGTGAAGGAGATTGGGAGGCACAGACTTGCAGCTGTGAAATGAGCAAGTCATGAGGATGTGGTGTGTACCATGGTGACCACAGTCAATGGCACTGCAGTGCATGTTCAAAGGTTCCTGAGAGAGCAGATCTTGAAAGTTCTCATCACAAGAAAAAAAAATTTTGTAACTTTTTATGATAATTGATAGTGACCAGATTTTTTTTATGGTGATCATTTCACAGTGCACACAAGTATCTAAAAGAATGCTGTAAATCAGTTATACCTCAGTTTAAAAAGAATAAAGAATGAGTTTTGGAGTCAGATCAGAACCCAATGCTTATTCTACCACTTACTAGCTTCTTTGGGGTCTTGAAAGAAACCCCTTAATTTTTCTGAGTCTCAGTTTCTTCATTTGTAAAATAGAAATACTGATTCTTTCTTGGTGATATGCTGAGGACTAAATGAAACAATGTTCATGGATCCCTTAGCATATGCCCTCACATGCAGTGGGTTTTTGGTTAAAAGCGGTTTTTCTTGTAAAGGAAAGTTTAGGTGCATTGAATGTACCCGTGTGCTTGGTAACCAATTTGACCCAGTTTTAGTAGAAGGTACAGTGGCAGAATTCACTTCCTCTGATAAAAAAATAATAAATTAAAATAAATAAAGTAAGCCTTGATGGAAACAGAGGAAGTAAAATATCTGAATCTAGATCAAGGAGAGAACCATGGTGCTGGGAGGAAAAGAGTATCAGGGGAGTCTTAGCTGGAGTTCTTCTGAAAGCAGATCTTAAGACAAGGAATTGGTTGCATGTTGGTTATTCCTAGAAATAATGAGCGAATGGAGAAAATGAAGCAGAGTTGAGGGAAAAGCCAAATTATGTGCCATGAGGGGACATAAGAGTCTGCTGTTGAAGACGGAACCTCTGAGAAGGTTGCTGAGTGCCTCTCAGAACTGCCCATCTGAAAGATAGGTGGCTGAAACATTTCTCCACAGGCGTCTGGCTCCCATCAGTTGAGGGCTGCCCTTGAGGGAGTTAGCGCCGCCACGCTTCCATGCTAAGCCTGAGGAAGCACTGAGCAGGCTTTTGCAATCTGGAGAAGGGTCTGAGGCAGAACTTAGGAAGACTCGAAAAATGTTCTGGAGACCCGGGCTTGTCAGGACCTCTCCACTACAGGTGAGATCAGAAGGGACCTTAGGCAATGGGAAACAGGGCTCCAAACTTTTCTGCCACAAATAGTCCTTCTGACAGACCATAAACAAGCATCAGGACAATGAGAAATTGTTATGAACTGAAAGTTTGTGTCCCCCGCTCCCAAATTCGTGTTGAAACCCTAACCCCCAGTGTGACAGTATTAGGAGGTAGGGCCTTTGAGAGGGGGCTGGGGCATGAGGGCAGAGCCCTCATGTATGGAATTATTATTGACTTTAAAAGCGACGGAAGAGAGCAGAGCTCCCGCCGCCCAGCATGTGCAGACAGGATGGCCACCTGCGAGCCTGGAAGAGGGCTCTCACCAGAACCCCGCCTTGCTGGCTCCCTGACCTCGGACCCCAGCCTCCAGAACTGTGAGCGATAAATGTCTGTTGTTGAGAAGCCACACCGTCTATGGAGGTTCGTCACAGCAGCCTGAACTGACTATGACAGAAATGACACCAGCAAAAATGAATGCTGGCCCCCAAAATAAACCAGGTATCTGGTTTTTCGGTACATTGTAGCTTAGCTTTTTTCATGGCAACTCGATTATGATGAACGAAATTGAGTGAAATAAAAGAACATGGAATCTTTTCCTTCCCCGAAGAGCCTACCAGGATTAGAATCACGAGGGTTTCAAACTTGGTCGTCTGTATGTGTGTGTATTTATGTCACAGGCAAAGCCCATTAACCACTCCTGGGAAATAAAAATAGACTCTGGGTAATAAAAATAAAGTCTAACCTTTTTCTTATCCTCTGCGCTCAGTCTAGTTTCACTGGTTCACAGGGGTCTGTACGCAGAGGCCTCGCACCCGGCCCTTCAGAAACGGCTGCGCCCAGCACCTCAGCTGACGGGCCTCCAGCAGAGGCGCTGCACGGCGCACAACACTCAGTCCACGGCGGCGGCGGTGGGGGTGGGGGCGGCTGGGGGCCGTGTGCAGAGACGCTGCGCCCTGCATTGTGATTGGGAGTGTGAGCAGCGCGGCTGCACCTGTCCCGCGAGAACTCCGTCCCCTCCCCTCCCCTCCCCCGCTGAGGACACTCGTACAAGGCAGCCCCGCCCGTGCCTGTCCAGAAAACAGCACGTGCTCTAGATCTCTCCTCGCACCTCTCCGTTCTTTGATCCAAGAATAAAGCTTTCCTTTGCTTCCAAACCGAACTCACTCTGATTCTGTTGGTTCCAATGACTCCGGGCAGAAGGAACCTTGATGGTGACCGTCTCAGGAGTGTCGGTAACAAATGTATATGTATGTGTCGTCACCATACTGCCACAAAAGGAAAGATGTAGCTTCACAAAGATAGTATGTCCTCATCGTATCATTCAGTCCTCTGTTCCTGTAACCACCAAACACTCCAGTCAGAGCCTGATCAATGTAGGTAAGCCTGGTCCTCAGTCCCCTTCTCTGAAGTCTCCATGATATTAGTCAGCCAGAAATTACTCTAGGCTTGAAATGACAAGTCACACCTTGCCCTGGGAAAATTATGGGGGAAATTAAACCCAGCACTGATGAGTTAAAGAGACTTTTGATTTCCATTTGAAGGGGCAAGTTTGGTGACCTATTCTGACAGTGAAAAGTAGAATGATTTATAAATGACAATTTATAATTTATAAATAATTAAATTGTCCATTCAATGCATATTTGCAATGTCTGTCCAATCAGAGTGCCACCTAGGGTTGCCAGATAAAATGCAAATATTGATAAGACATATATATATCAAAAATTATTCATTATTCATCAGAAATTCAAATTTAACTAGGAACTCTTTAATTTTATTTGCTAAGCCTGGTAACTCTAATCACTTCCAAACATGTACAACCAAAGAGGTGTACATTCAAATAGGACCGTAGATGCTCTGGAATGTCGTGCTAAAGGTTCGAGGACTTTTCAGTAACAGCAACATTTTGCTAAATAGACATGTGAATTAACTAAACAATTTACATATTGTTTCCTTGGGGCACATTTCTAAAAACTTTTCGAAGTATTTCAATAGTTTATTTGTCACAACATGGCAATCTCTATACTGGCGGGGGGGGGGGGAATACCGTGATGATAATAGGAAAACTCATCTCAAATAATTCCAAGTGAGTTTTCAAAGACTCTCATTTACCTGCTGAGTCAAATACACATACTTTATAATGTTCTCATTGGATTCACCTAAATATTTTCTCATAAATAAAATTTAAATCAACTTCTATGCCTAAGAACAATTCTGCGGAATCCTTTGATGAAAGAAACATCCAAGAACCACATGCAGAGTCACTTCATTTTAGTTGCAAGATTCTTGTTCCAGCTCACCTTCCAAAACAATTTCAGTCAAGTAGAAATGTTCTGACAATCCCCCCTTAGAATGGCCAATAATCCCTGCCTTTTCATTCATTCACTCATTACCTCTCTAAAAAGAGAATGTGCAGTTACCAGAATTTTATACAATTAGTGCTCCAAGAGTGTTTTAAATGCAAACCTATAAGAGGAAAGTAAAAACAAATCAAAGTTAATTGTGACTGGCTGGAACAAAATGCTTAAATCAATAGGAGGATGGCTCATCTGCTCATCATTTACCCATTACCTGGGAGACGATCACCTCCTGCTGTGCCTGATTTTTGATACAGATTCACCACTGCCTGCATTTTCCAGACACATGCTACAGAAGCCCAGCCCTTCTCTGACCCTCTCTCTCATTACCCACTTTGCACTTAATACCCTATGCACTTATTCATTTTAATTCTTTTCTTGCTTGTATGTTCTCTGTGAGGGGCCGATGCACACAAGGAAAACTAGAAAGTTGGAAAACTTTACAAAGAAGCTCAGGGCCTTCCTGCAAAGCAGTCAGAGGAGACACCCACACCTGCCTATGAATTACTGACTTCTCTCAACCGGTCTCCACAGTGACTATTGTGATTTTCAGAAACCACCCCAAAATAGAATGTGACTCCCTTTCATAAGGCATCTCTTGAAAAAAAATTTTGTTGTTGTTGTTGTTAAGGTATTAGATGCAAATGAAGATAAATAAAGCCCTCTTATTCAGACGTAGTGAATGTCTTTAATGGAAGGACAGCCTTAAAACTTAACATACAGTATCCAGAACAGAAATTGGCTGTTGGAAACTTTGGCTTTTGAAGGACACGCATGATCTTAGCTCTCATCAACAAAGCCTGGTGTTTTAGTATAAAGACAAACTCATTTCTAACCCTCTGCTGCCTTTCTGCAAATGCCCTTCACCATAGCCAAGAATCCCAAAAATGGAATATAAAATGTATCTGCCTTTGAAAGATAATATATATCTGAATTAAATACACACACCAAATTTAAATATACCTGGATAAGATGGTTGGGGTGATAGATTAACTTTTTTTCAGGTAATTATCCAAATGAAAATCTTGCAACTATGTTTTTTTTATTATTATTATTAATGGTCTCCAAGGGGTGAGGAGGAGACAAAAAAACTTTTGAAATAACTAATTTTTAAAACTCTATTTGACAACTAAATGGATCGTGTGACTGCTATCACCAAATATTTACTAGCAACTATCTTTTTTAGCTTTGTAGCTATTTTTTTACTTGTGTGTACGGATTACCTAATAGAAAAGTGTACAGGTGACCACACGTGGATAGCACACCATGGACTGAAACGACATTATTTTTTAGCCAAGTGCACCCACAGCAAACCATGGACTGAAACTGCATTATTTTTTTGGCCAAGTGCACTCAAATAGGCTAAATATGTGAAGGTTAGAAATACAGTACTCACTTTAAAATTGGAGTATAAATAAAACTGGGCAAACCTAGATGCACACTGATACAGTGGGGCGAAACAGCACAGTGTAGAGGATGACTAGAGGAAAATTGTGATGGTGCACAAAAGGGAAAAGAATAAGACACAGCTGAAAGCCAGCTCTAGCCTTTCCATTGACCATTGGTGTGTGTTCCACCTACCACTTCTCCAATGCATCCTTTTATTATTTTTTTGAGAAAGGACATTCATGACCAATAACACTGTTATAATGATAGTTAGTGTAGGATTTAAGATATGTTTTTTAAAAAGCACACTTAACCAACACTAAAAAGCCACCAAGGGTGGGGGTGGGGGTAGTTACCTAGCTCTAGGTTTTATTTAGTGACGGTTCCACTTTTTCACTCACTGCCTGCAAATCAGCGTTTTTAGTGGACAAAGGACTCAGCGGCGGCCTTATGATTGCTTCTTTTCAAATGGTAATGGCTATCCTAACTCCTCTGCCAGGTTTTTCTTACCAGAGCACAAATTGCAGTTTACAAGGCTCTGAGGGAAAAAAAATCTTAGCTGAATATCTTTTTTTTTTTATTCGACAAACTGACATGTAAATTACCCTTTAAGTGCTCCACTCTAGGGCTCTGATCATCTCCTAATTGTCACAGTCAATTGTAGCCAACAGTCTCTTCAATCCCAAGCGCTTTGACAACAAGCACAAGGATCAAAGCAGAATCAGCTCCCTTCAATATCCTTCTGTTTAGGATGCTACAAAACGCCTGAAAAAGAAAGGTGTAAGGGCATTGCTGTAGAGGAAACTGAGAGTAGCAAGTATTACAATAGCCATTTTCTCCATCTCTAAAATTATGCTGTATAAGCTGCCGTGATCTTTAATCACATGCGCAGAACAAATATGTAAACCTCCCGGGCAATTAATATGCTCTTAAGATTATACTAACATTCCAGCTTTATGAACAACCCCATGGCTTAGAAAAACTATGACACAGACATGGGATAGCAAACATGTCACAGCTGCTTCAGCAACCAAAAGTATTATCAAACATATTCTATATTTGAGCATAAATTTTAAAGCATAGTTTTTATTACTCAGACTAGTGTCAGGATTCACTGCTCCCCCAAACTAAATAGCCCATTGAAAATTCTAGAGTTTTTTTTTTAATTAACCTAGAGATGTCCAACTGAAAATGTGCCCCTAAATAAATTTAAAATGTGGCATAAAAACTAATTTCAGAAGAATGCTGTTTCCCCTAGTAGGGGTAAATCTATGTTATTGCTTTACTGGGAACAAACTAATTAAAAGTCATTACATGATCTACAAACATGAGTTCTAAATAAGATGTACTTACCAGGATCATCACTTAACAAAATATGACGTGTCTCCAACTATAGTAGTTTTCATATACCACTAACTTTTTAAAGATCATTTATGCTTTTCTCAAAAGATAAATTCATCCTATTATCTATAACAATATAAATAATTTCATGGAAAGAGAAACCCATAATAAAACAATAAATTACACAAAATAACCGCTTTAAAGAATAACCTGAAGGTTCTCAGGAAGAAAACGACAAATGGGAAGAAATCAAAGGTGCATACGACATTCCTTCTACAGCTTGTTGTCTCCAGGTATTACACACAGACAGTGTGTAAGGTCACACCTTGATTGACAGTCTTCCTATGCTCCAGAAAAGAACTGAAAAAAAGAGGCAGCAAATACCCCAGGTTCTTTCTCAGCTACTTCACTCAAATCCCCCTGTAGGGGTTTCCCATCCTCCCCTCAATTTCACCTTATATTCTCAGGTTTGATTGAAGAGCTTCACAGAAGGGTCTATTACAGATTGAGGAATGATCCATTTCACATCTGAAGCTCCAAAGAGCTCCTTGTGAGGAGTCTTGGAGTGCATTTATCTCACATGTGAAGCTTTCTGCAAAATCAATATGGGTATTTTTCAGTTTGACAAGTCAACGTGAAATATCACATAATAATAGAAAAACAGAGTTGTACATTTAAACACACCCAATATAGTTATCTATGACAAAGCTGATAGTTATTACTCATGGAGATCCTTGAGTGTGCCTATTCTGAATTCATCCTGATAGCTGGGCTAAAGGGCACAGACAGAGAAACTGACTGGTCACCATATTCCTGGCTCCTCTGTACCAATTAATCCAAGTTTTGCAGTGAGAGAAGAGAACGGGCAGGAATTATGACCTATGCTTCACATCTGAGAGTGATATGAGAAGTGGAAAGAAAATAACCAGACGTAAAAAAAAAAAGGAAGGAAGCAGAACAAAAAAGAACTTTGTAAAGAACTTCAAATTTAACTAATTGGCAATAACTGGGCAAAATCGTTACCCAAAGAACAGCAACCAAGTCTCATATCCTCCCCCAGAACAATTGACATACCTGTGATGGGCTCTGACAATCTTTGGGTGAACCCCAGATCTTTTACCACATGCATAAGCTTGCAGAACATGATTTAATTTCTCTAAATCTCTGTTTTGTTTGTTTTTTTATCTCAAAATGGGATTAATGAGAAGATTTACCTTACAAGGTTTTGTGAAGTTTAAATAAGAAGATGCACATAGCACCTGGGTCATGAAAAACATACAACTATTCGTAAATACTGATGAAATTATTAGCGTTTCTTTAAACCTATCCACAAGGTCCTTAAGGTTCTCATCTGGTGCCGTTTCTCCTGTCTGCTGGACTCTTTCCACATGGTTTAGTGTTCCCAAGTCGTAGACGACAGTTCTGGTCAAAGAATGTACTCACTACGTTAACTCTGACGTAGGTCCTAGCAGAGGAGTACAGCCACCCACGTTCTTTTGCCTTAGAAATGGTCTTCCTGCAATCAGGAAGGGGGTCCCTATCAACCAAGAAAAAGAGAATCAGTTGGGGCTTCAGAAAGGAAAAGAATCCAGGCTTTGAAACCAAATAGCCACCGATTCATATGCCAATGTTCTCATGAATACTGGGGTCATCTCTGTTTACTCCGCCAATGGAATGACCTTAAAATAAAACCTCTCAGGAGCATATTGCCACCCAGATTTAGTTAATTAGCTTGCAATAACTGCTATTCTTCTCATCATATTTTCCTGCAGCACATCACTACCAAAGTAGTACTAATACCGTCTGTGCCTGAACCACCTAATTTGTAGATTGCTTGAAACCTACTTTTAATTTTAGGTTAACTCTCCCTACCACTCAGAATTAGCCCAGAGTAGGCAAAATATGTGTGTTCAGAGATGGGAAAAATTTATGTTATATCAAAATAAGAAAAGCATCATTAAAAAATTGAATGGAAATTTTAAAATTCTTACCCTGTATTTCAGAGTCAAATAACTAAACAAGACTTTGTATTTAATTAATTCAAAAAACTTAATATAGGCAATATTCATTTTTTTAGTTACTCTAGTGTTCTCCTCCATTATTAAAATGAAGCTATAGCTTTCATTCCAGAACCAAACTAAAATATTTAATTAAATGCTGATATAAAATTACAAGAACAAGTTTAAATAATTTCCCACTTAAAAGGGTTATTTCCTTAAAATTTTTAATTTATTTGTTTTGGGCTCAAAATACATTTTTAGGAAGGAAGCAAGTTTATAAGTGATCATTACATTTCCAGATTGACACATTAAAAACTTGTTTAATGTAAAATGAACCTGTAACACACTAGAATCAAGTTTTAAGTGACTCTAGGTCATGATATCTATAAATTTCACATTGTGGAGGCTTAAGGAGTATCATCAAACACTGAGTTTCTAAACTTTGGAACATCATCAGGCAGGAGATCTGATAGAAGGATGGAACAACCATGAAGCTGAGTGATCACAATTCTCAACATCATCATCATATCAACACCACCATCATCATTATCATCCTGTCATATCCCTCCCATTATATTAGTACATGGTACCTATGAAGGTGGTGATGCTAGGTAACCAATAAGATGGCATCTTGTCATCTTGACTTTTTTTAAGTGGAGGAGACCTGCACCAGGGTGTCAGGACCTCACTCTTTCTTTCTTTGATTTAAACCTCTTCCATGATGTTCATTTCCCAGTCAGGACCCTGAGCATTATTTAAACGCTTTCAAGTAAATTTCCTAGTGAGCAAGAGGTTTGGGGCCTTCTATTGATCCCCAGTTATTACACAGGATTGGGAGGACAAGGCTCCAGGGAAATTAGTCAGCACAGTGTAGACAGCCCCCAAATTTAATAAGAAAATAACTTTCCTGCCTGCCACGTCAAGGGTTACCCAAGGTTCCTTCAGAGAAATGACCAGGTGTCCTTTGGGAGCCAGGGAGGGTCCTGGGCCCCATCAGTCTTCAGTCATCTCAGCCATCATTGGTTTGGGAGCCCCAAGCCCTCTTTGGGACCTGGGGCAGCCCTGCTTCCAGTGGCCTTTTCTTTGCATATTGGACAGGTTCCTAGTGGACTTTCCCCAAATATAGGGCATTTGTCCTTCCAGTGGCCCTCCTGGCTGCATTTAAAACACGTCCCTTCCCAGCAAAACAGTGGCTCTGACCCAGGGGTCCTGGATCCTACCCTTCCATGGGTCTTCACAAGCAAGGGTAACCCTGAAAAAAAATTTTTTTTAATTAAAAATAAATAAATAAACACTTTCAGTTAAGCAAATGAAGACTCTGAGGTATCAGCACCCACATTCCAAGATCCCCTCCTTCTGGATTTTGTCTTCGACCCACAATATCTAGGAAAGGGGCTCGCTCACTCAGGACCTGATAACATATTCCTTGGCATGCTGGCAGTACTTCAACAAAACCACAACATTGAAGTGAATATTTGCCTTTCTCAATGGAAAATAATTTCACAACTTCTCTCAGTTATTTACGTATTTCGAAAGTTGCCCTTCTTCATTATCAGGGCTTTCTGTCTTATTCCATTTCTGGTTTTGATTTTAACTGTAAACCTTACTACTCGAAACTCATGAGGGCTATCTGCCTTTCAAGCACTTCAGGTTGCCATTAAATAGCATCCCGTACTTCACCTAACTAAGAACACTTACTCCTGCCTCTTATCCATATTTTCAAGTAAGCACATGGTACTCTACAGTTTGCAACTCATCTAGATGACCTCTGGCCTCATCAAATTTTAATCACAAAACATATACATACACAACTTCAAATCTGAACTGATCAGGGGTTGGTGGGAAGGAGGAAATAGAGATTTAGTATTTAATGGGTATAGAGTTTCGATTTTGCAAGATGATAATGTTCTGGAGCTCTGTTGCACAACAGTATGAATGTGCTTAACACTATAGTAGTGCACACTCAAAATGGTTAAGATGGCAGATTTTATGTTATGTTTACCACAATTTAACAGTTTTTTTAAATAAAAAAATAATGTAGTGAAATTGCTTGTAGAAATGAGTGCATTAATTCAATAATAAATAAATATGGAACATCTCTTAAAAACTGAATTAAGGGTATTCTGATTTTTAAGTGTTAGGCAACCAGAACCCTAGATTTCAGTTCTAATTTCTTTTTTATTCAAATACTGCCTGCAAAATTATCCATAAAGTTTTCGAATCCAAATGGACCAGAATAGGGACTTTATGTAGGAGAAACTGCACTTGAAAATGTAGGTCAAAATTAAAGCTATCAATGAAACTCGGATTATAGAATTTCACTTCTCTTCTGAAAGGTTCAAACAACGAAACACAAGAAAACCACCACTCCCAGGTGCTCAGTTCTGAGGCTGTAACTACCACACGTTGTTACCACTTAGAATCTCAAATTTTCACCGAGTTTTCAGTGGACCAAGCAAAGTTGAAGCTCACTGAGACAAAAATACTCGGACCCAAACCAGACTATTTTCAGTGGTTTCTCTGTTTTTGTAACAGTAGTTCCACAGTCTCTTAACACTCACTTTCTTCAGGGTTAATTTTTTTTTTGCCATTTTTAAAGTTATGTTATAAAATAAAGATTTTTCAGGATTCAGAGTCATAATCCATTCTCTGAACATGTTGAGCACATTTACATTTACCCTACACAAAGGTGGTAGAGGAAAGCTTCAAACAAAGCAGACGGAACAGGACCATGGAGTAACGGGGGACATTTATGAAAACGAGTGTCTTTATGATCCCACCTTACACACACAAAATGAAACCAGTCAAAACCAGAAGTAGATGGCTACCTTTTTAAAGTAAGATCCCAGGGTCAAAAATTAATGAACATGGTACACTGATTCAAACATTCACTAGTATTTTTCCTTTTGCATATGCACTCAATCATTTCATCACCTAATGGTTTGCTTTTAACATTTATTCTTGTAGTGCACATACTTTCTTAGATTAGGGTAGCAAGACCTTGAAGTCCAGTGTGAATCTGAAGTTTGTAATATTACTAACAGTTTTAATAATAATAGTTACCCATGACTAATATATCTTTTCACTCATATTATCTTTTAGAACCACCATATGAGCTGAATATCAATATGCCTCTGAGATATGAGGAAACTGAGGCTTTGAGAGATTAAATAACTTGGCCAAAACCACACACTAAAGAATGCTGTGCGCTGAACCACAGAGCTCCCCTGCATCTTGATGACTTGCTGTGAGTGTAGAATTTCAGTGTATTCTTCTACATCATCTATTACAAACTCTTCTTTTATTAATCTTCTTGATAAATAAGTTCCCTCTTGCATTTGGGGTCTCTTATTGCCCAATAGTTCCTGAATAGAAACCATATCTTGGACACAGACACTTGTTTTGATTGACTCCATGACTGAACCAAATGTGATCACTGGTCAGCGTGGCCACTGACCAGCAGCAGCAGCTCCCTTTGTTCCACTGATACCTCTCCATGTACTCACCAAGCAACCGGGTTACAGACCGTTCGCTACAGAGAATAACATCCATCATGGCGCATATTTTGAAATCCACTTGAACTCAGGACTATAATCAGTAGCCATTCATAGTGTTCCAGAAGACCCTACCACCCTTGCAAACACCATAATCAACACCAGTGAAGAACATCGAGACCAGCACAACGGACCATTTCGTTTCCCTGCTTCAGATCTGGATCCCTTTTCCCCCACACATCTCCTCACCGAGGTGAATATATCCACGCCATTTCTAGGGAGGACAGACTCAGGGCTAGCCTAAGAATCCAAGAATAGTGAAGTTGGAACCACAAGAACTCTCCAGGCCATGCCCTAAAATTGCATATGATAAAAATGTGGTCCAAAGAGGTAAAACGATTTGCCCAAAGTCTTAACCTAATGAGTGAAAAAGCAGAGACTTTATAAACTCCAACGCTAGGGCATTTCCCACTTATGAGACTGTTTTAAACAAAGGGCTTACTATGTGTCAAATATGGTACTAGATACTTTACAAACAGTATTTCACATAATCCTCACAACCTTCACAAAAAATAAATGTCATTGCTCCTCTTACAAATGGAAAAGATTAAGTAATTTAGCTAACTTCACACGGCTAGAAAATAGCAGCTGTGGGGATCAGCTATTAACACCTCACTTTTAATATAATGGTCAAGTTCCTAAAAAAAAAATGCCTCCAGACGGGATTATGGCACTAGACAAGCAGTGGACTGATGCTGAGATTAGAGGAGGAAAAGATACGAATTTAAGGCCTGGAAATTTTTTTTTAAAAAAGCTAAAATAAAGATGTTGCATGAACACACTGGTCTTTATTTTTATTTCTTTATATCCTGCTTTTTTTTCCCAAAAAGGATGTAAATTGGTTTATCAAAAAGCAAAGAAACCAGAAAACAAACAAAAATGCATTCGATACAATAAGATAAACTAAATTTAAAATAGGTGATTGAACTAACTCTAAAAGAAAACACAGCAAAATTGAAAGAGACAAAATTCTTGCCCGGAAG